AGTACCATTGGACCAAATACTCATTGGTGTATAATTATATTTATATATTCTAAAAATTATAGATATATTTTTTACTTGTGACCACCCTCTAATTTTCTTATTTCAATTGTTTAGTCTTTTTTATTTTATTAAGGTTTTCTCCAGATGACCTTAATTTTATTATTTAAAATTTTTTGCAAGTGAAAGTGTTTATAATTGACCTTTATTTAACTTTTTTTTACGAGAAATCGTATATATTTTTATTCAAGTATTGATTATAGTCTTTATTATGTGTCAATTAATTTTTAATTTTTTTACTATGTTTAGCTCTTAAATTTTAGTTTATTAGTCATATTATGCTACTATCTTAGTGATAATGTTTAGAACATCGTTTATTGAATAAATTTAATAAATTAATAGTGAATAACTAATTTTTTTAATTACAAAAATGAAAATTATCTCCACTTTTTTACAATGGTTATAATTAGTTATTTTATATACATATACAATGTACATTATTTTTGGCATTTTTTTTTTATGTTAAATGGACTTTATGTATCAAATATGATATAATAAATATAAATATATTATATAGTGTGATTGGTTAGGAGGAAAAAATTAGAGTGTGTAATTAAAGTGTCCACCATAAGCAGAATTCTTGGCTTCGCCCCTACCTTTATCCCTTAATGGAGCAAGATCTGATCGATCCCCTGCTATGGAGGAATTATAAGTTGATTCAGATCCTCTTGATGATAATTCCTCCTTAGATGACCTAGTACGGAGGAAACATGTTGTAAAGAAAAAGAAGGCCTAAGTCGAATCCCTAATGAATATTGAGGATGAGCCTAAGAAAGTTGATGGTGTCCTAATTTGGCACCCTAAACTAGGAGCTCGTGGTCAGAAGATCCTTACAAAGGATTTAGTTGTTGTTCATGTAAATATTGTTGTAAGGGTGGCTAAGGTAATGATTCTTCCCAGTTTGAAAATTTCTAAAAGTTTGGATGATGATTTGATTTCTTTGAGTATTCTTGAAATGATGGTGGTGGTAAGTTGCTACAACTCGGAATAAATTCCAAGTTTCAGACTTTTCATTTTGTTACTTTAACTTGTGTCTTTCCAAGTTTTTCAATGAGTCCATGAGATTGAGCTTGCATAGCAAGGAAGGACAAGGAGTTGGAGAAAGCCACATGTTCTAGTTGTTGTTAGGCCGAAGTGGCCAAACTTATCATTCAAAGCAAACAACTCAACAACGAGGCAATGGAAGTTAAGTAGGCTGAGAAGAAAGCTCGGGAGGAAGCTGCACATCTAAAGAAACAGTACGCCTCTTTGCAAAAAGTGTTAAATGGTATTCAAGCCTTTTCTCAGGCAATCGAGAATAAGTCATATGATGAAGGGTTTGACAAGGCAGAGAAGGCTTTTGTAGATTAAATCCCCAAGCTTCAAGAAATTTTCTTCAAGAACGGTTGGGATGCAGCCCTGACTGATGCCTAGTGTTCCTTCAAGCTCCAAGCTCTTCTCCAAGCATACTATGAACTTGTCACCTTTGGGCAACATTGTTTCAGAGCAGAGAGCAACTACTAGGTGATGAGCGTGTAATATTACATATTTAATGGTCTCATTACATGTATTTTAATTCAATTTTGTATTTAATTAGAGTTACTTGAATTTATGAATAATGTTAAAATTTTGATGTTGTAGATAATTATAGGACAAATGATGGCTTTCGGAACCTTGCAACTAAGTGTGGATGAGTGGTGAAGAGATACACACATTACGTGAGGATTAGGTAGATTTAAATTGAAAGAAATCAATAAGGAAGTGATACTTGGTATCATAGGTACAGGTATCTAAACTTACTGGAATTTTGGTACCTGTAACCGCACTATTTGGTAGCAGTACCTCGATTTTCCTCATTTTTGACCATGATCAACTTCAAATATGAACAAGTTCAAAACATGAAAGTTGTATATTTGTGTATCCTCTGTCTTGTGTCAAAATTTCAGCTCAATCTAATTCTGAGACGAAAATTTATGACAAATTAACGAAAGCTGGTCCTGAGCTAGCACCCCCTTACGACCCAGTGGTAGGTTTTATCCAGAAACGCCAGAAAGTTGCAATCTCTTCTCCAACTGTTCCATGGGCCTACCTCTGCTTCTCCCACACATACCTTGACATATTCTACATACAAGCATGCCTCTCTACACCTAGAGTCGGACTCGAAAGAAAGAGCATGAAAAAGGAAAAAGGAGAAAGAGGGAGGCATGGTGGGTTGCAAGCATGGCCTATCCTTGCTTGTGTAAGTGTCCAACCCCCTTCCCCATGCTTGGATGTCAGCTCTCACAGACCATGGAGGGGGTTTGGACGAATTTGGACTAAGTCTTACTCTATAATTCAGATTTTAAAAGCTTTTGAAAGGGGATTCTACCTAAGCTTAAGAATAGTTTTAGAGGGAGAAGCTCAAGGAAGAGGATGAATTTAGAGAGAGAAAGCTATGTTTTCATATTTCTTCACCATTTTTAGTGTTGTAAGCTTTAAATTACTTGTAATCTTTCCCCTTTTTACTTTAAACTCTTTCATTCAATTTGTATGCAAGCTTAGCTAAGTATTTTTAGATTTTCAAGTTCTACATTTGGGTATTTGTTTCCAATCTTTGAATTTTGACTATGAATTTCATTTCTCTTGTATTTTAACCCCTTTCTAGCTTCAATACAACCTTTACATTATGTTTGTTCTTAATTTGACTATAAGTAGCTAGACTTTTAGTAGGCTAATCCAAGGAATTTTTTCTCTTGGGTATGTAAAATCAACTCTTTTCTATTCTTTGTTGTAGTGTAAAGTGGTTTGGTTTGATTAGATTGAATGCGAACGTGGTTGTGAGTTCTTGAAACACCGTAGATTTGTCACGGGATATACTTGAGTCAACACCTCCATATTAGTCCCTTACTTTCTACGAATTAATCAAACACCAAGGCACCATTGGTCGAATGAATTGAGTCAATTTTGCATTCCCATTGAAATGACCCCTATGAATTAGCCAACTTTATTTTCCTTGCTTTTTTCATCAAAACACAACTCACTAAAACACAAATATCACAATTTTACAATTTTCATTTCTTCATCAATCATCTTTCAAAGAAATTTGACATTCTTTCTTTAAGAAGACGACATTGGAATACCCATTCCGAATAAAATACGACATTGCAAGTCTCTCTATGCTTAGAGAGCACTTTTGCACACACACAAACACATGTTTTTGTTCACATACACGATTTTTTTCATTTCTAGCATCGAACCCATGGGAGAGTGACACTCACCTACTCATATAGGCCATATACATACAACCAAGATCATGTTTGGAGATTAGGGTGAACGCAATCAAGCACTAGGTCCAAATTCCTAAGCACATCTTAAATTTTTAGTATGTGTAATATTTTTTTCTTATTTTTAATGTATCCTTTTATTGAATCAAAGAATGAGAATCCCTTTTGTATCTTTGTGATTTTAATTTTATACTTAGCAAGGTTTTTGTCATTGCCCCTCTCCCCTAACAAAGAGTTTGAGCCATACTTGTAGACAATTGCCCCTTCCCTAGCAAAGAAGGTTTGGCTCAATGAAGGGATCGGATCTTCATACTTAGGAAAGATTTGATCATGACCCCCTTTTCTTAGCAAAGAGGCTGATCTTCAGTGAAGGGCTAAGGCTCATCTTCAATGAAGGGTTAAGGCCTTTCATACTTAGAATTTTTTTTGATCATGACCCTTCTCCTTTACCGGCCTTTCATACTTAAAAAATATTTTGATCATGACCCCATTCTCCTAGTAAAGAAACTCTACCGCAATGAAGGGCTAGAGCATATATACTAAGAAAAATTTTAATCATGACCCCTTCCCTTAGCAATGAGGCTTTGGTTCAATGAAGAGTTAGACTTTTCATACTTACAAAATATTTTGATCATGACCCCTTCTCCTAACAAAGAGACTTTTATCTCAACGAAGGGATAGGACTTTTCACACTTTGAAAATATTTTGATCATAACCCCCTTTTCCTAGCAAAGAAGCTATATGTTAATGAAGGTAATGACCTTTGTTTTTTAGAAAAATTTTAATCATAGCACCACTTGCCCTAACAAAGAGGTCCTACGAATGGTGCAAGATTTCTTTCTCGGTCTCTTGTTGTAACCATTGCATTAATTTGTCGATTTGATCGGTCTCAAACTTCTAACCATCTAAGTTCCTCTTTCCTAAATGTCGATTTTTAATCCTTTCCTAGTTCCATATTTTTTACTTTTTCCAAATATGGGTACTATATGTGCACAAACCTTAGTTATTATAATCTAATATCATTTGGTTCCATTTTTATCTTATTTTCTTGTTAGTCTAACATTATCCTTTATAAAAAATGAGACAAAAAAATTATTATTTTAATATTGCATAATTTAATATATTTTTTTGGTCAATTCTTAACACAATACCAAAAAGAGGATAAGACTATGGTTCCAAATATGGTATAGTCATGTCTCCATTAATCTAAATTATATTTTAAATTGAATAATTTATAATTATTAATTAAAAACTAAAAAAATTTATATGTGATATATTTTTATAAATTATTAAATAAAAAAATTATTTTTTGATATCGTAATTAAAAAAAAAAAAAGTGGGCTTGCGTAAGCCGGTGATTAATTAGCGTGTGCTAATAGCCGTAGTCAAGTACAAAAAGAGGCGGTTTTCACGGCAGAATTCGGAGACACAGAGCACACAGCAAAAACTGGCATCACATTACCATTTAGCCACTAACACAAGCCACAGCTCAGCCTCACCACATTGCCTCGCGCTCCTCTACTCCCTTCCCATTTTACGCTCTCTCTCTCTCTCGCTCTCTCATCACATCTTATGCTTCAGCTTCTCTTTCTCTCTCTCTGCTCTCTATCGTAGCCAGTCGGGCAGTTTGATTTGAATGCTCTGACTCTGTATATTTAACACACACATATAGCGGTGTTCAACGAAGGTGAGAAGATAACGATGGAATCGCCAGATTCACGTTACGCTTCGTCCCCCGAGGTTCTTCAGGAACACTCTTCGCCGCGGCAATTACCGAATCCAGGTTTATCTTTCTGGCTCTCTCTCGAAGATCTGTGGTTTCTGATCTGAGTTTTTGTGACCTATTAGATGCTTTAGTTCGTTTAAATCTGTGGCCTAATAGTCTTAATTGTTTGTCATTGTTACTGGATTTTTCATGTAATGCGATGTAGAAATTTCAACGCCAATGTCTTGGATATTCATTCGCTATTTTTCATTCTTAGATGTTTTAGAAACCCTAGAATTGGTCAAAGCTATGGTGATTAGGTGGAATTGACTTAATAATGTATAACTAATTGATACAATGACGTGAAGAAATTAATTTTGTGATATGTGCTCTTCTTTTCTTCCCCCCCTCCCTCTCTCGTCGGAATTATCAATTTATAGACTGGTGCAGTTGATCGAGGGGGGCGGAGTGAGACCAGGCGGAAACCTGAGCAGTTCTCGACTCCGCATTATTTGCTGAAAGTGTTTGCCCTGTAATTTGGACTAGCAGCCTTATCCTTTTTAGCGTTATACTGTTATCACTTCATGATACAAACACCTTAATGCTATCTTGAAAGTGAAATGCAAGGCTTCAGTTTATGGCAGTGGTGTTTCTTGCATTTATTTGCTTGACAGCTGGTGAAGTAAAAAATTAAGCGGATTAGATGAGAATAGTATGTTTTGTTCTGTCACATACTACTGTTGCTGCACGTCTCTTGATCCTCTACTAATGTCTTAAAAGATATTATTTTTTATTTCAGAAATACACTTTTTATTGATCTATGTTTGAACTTTGTTTAACTTTTTGCTTGAAATAGCTAGACTGCCACATCCAGAAACCTAATAAGGTGTGTATTTTACCATACCTGCTCTAGTTCCGCTAATGTAGCATGTTTACTGTAGGATGGTTAGCAATTGGAACAAACAAATTTCAGTGCATTAGTATGGTCAAACTTCGTTAAAACCTTGGTTTGTGATTGGTTATGGAAGTTATAGACAAAAATGTCATTGCCTAGTTTGGTTCTTGCTAATCAAGAAATGGGGACAGATGGACTGGTCACTGGGTACATACCTAACTCGTGATAAATGACCACTTTTTGGATCTGTTTAGAACTTCTTGCAGGAATTTAGCTAGTCCAATGAACATTAAAACGATGGAGAGAGCAGATGTATTGCATTCAAGTGTGGAGGATTCCATGATTTAGATTTTGATATATGCATGAAGCCATTAAAAGGATGACATGCCCTTGCAAATATGTTTTTTTGTTAGATTCCTAATGCTTTTGGTTTTATGGTATTATTGTCCTTCATTAGTAAGTAGTAACATCAATTATTTTCTTTGGTTGAGATTGATTTTAGTGCTATAGCTCATGTTTTATTACTTATTATTTCTTGAAGCTAAGTGCTACTAGAAAGGTTCGTAAGTGAAATATATCTTGTATTGATCCTCTCAAGTTGAAACTTAGTGCTGCTACAATTGTGCTGCATCAGGGAGGTCAAGCGTAGGATACTCATGTTGAAATCACCAAAATTTAATCTTACCACCAGCATAGATTGAAGAGTATGCCTTGTGATTTCATGCGTGTTGTCAGCTTTAGAAACATGCAAAATAATGTGCACTTGTGTGTTTGATGGATCCCAATTACAAATATGACATCTCATTTGGAATTTGCTTTAATATCCATTTTTGGTTTTGGTATATTCAACATTTATGCTCTTGCTGAAAACACGTTGGCATAAAGTTTTACACTAATCAATGGCATTTCTGTGAATGTGTGATCAATTGGTTTGACTTATTGTTGTGTGTTATTATTTTGTGATTGCAATTGTATAGACCATATGGAGAAGGGCATATATATGAAGTTCCTTATATCTAATGCTGAAGCGGGTTCTATTATTGGAAAAGGAGGCTCAACAATCAGTGATTTTCAGTCACAGTCTGGGGCACGGATTCAGTTGTCACGCAACTTTGAGTATTTCCCAGGAACATCTGACAGAATTATTATGGTTTCTGGGGCAGTTGATGACATACTCAAGGGGATTGATTTAATTCTTGCTAAATTGCTGAATGAGGTGATATGGATGATGTGCCTTGTATTTAATATTCTTTTCCGAAGGTGTTTATTAAAGGAAAATTTTCTCCTGTTGTTTTTTCAGTTTTATGCTGAAGATGATGGTGATGTTGACCCAAGATCAAAAGTTAGACTGATTGTCCCCAATAGCTCTTGTGGTGGAATAATTGGGAAGGGAGGAGCCACCATAAAGTATGAACGCTGCTTACTATATTCCATTTTTTTTTAAAGCATTATCTGATAAAAGGAGCCCTGAGACAACATCTTGGGTCTCTGTCCTTGTCGTTTTTCTGTCTAATCTATTTTCCATCCTTTGCCAAGCATATGTGACTTTTTTGTTCAGAAAGTTATTGATGTAAGTTTTGTAAATATTTAACCTGTTTATGGGGTACACGCAAGGAACTTATTGGCAAATAGGATTGATCCATTTGGCAAAGCCATAATTTGATTTGTTTTTCTGCCGTATCTCGTACGCGTGAGGGTCAACGTAGGTGCAAGTTGTGATTGTCGGAATAAATGTAGCCAATCCTTTACACGATACATGTATGTGGTTGTTTGATTAGTGCAGGTCTGACTGTGATAAAAAATATGGATTATCCTTTAGCTTAACTGTCTTAAGTAGCAATGCTAGCTTCAAACTTTATTGTTTGCTTTGATCAAGCCTAAATATCTTCTCTGGAGCATATTTGACAAGAATCGTACTGCTCTGGAATATTTTGGAAATGTGATCGAAGCCATAGGGTAAAAGGTTTCTGAAATGCTTTAGGAACTGTTTTGATGAAACACATCATATGTTCTGGAAAATGTGCGGGGTGCATCTATGGAAGTTGTTGATAATTCCACTGATTTTGAATGTTTCGGAAATGTAATATGGGCGTACAGGAAAGGTTTTTGGAAATGCTTTGGCAACTCGAGAGAGATCTCCACTATGAGTCATCTCTCTGATTTAGTTTCTCATTGTTTATGGGTTTTTAATAAAAGAGATGAGAGCATGAATACGATTGACCTGGGAACTTAGTTTTTATGGAAGCAAGGTTGTCATAACTGACATTGAAGGTAATGACGTTCTAGGTCTCTAGGAATGCCATTCCATTTAGGAAGCTTTAGCTTAGGGTTGTGATGGCCATTGTGTGCATGGTGTGAGGCTAATCATTATGTAAGTGTAATTACTTGTCTGGATCCCTTGGACAACAGTCCTGACTCCTGTAAATGGTCAAATGTTTAATATATGTGGAATGCCTCGTTGCAACATGAATATGGAGGGAACATGAAATGTCTTTCTAATGGTTTGGCCAAGACTTACTGCTGTCATTGAGCTAATTAAAGGCATGGACAACACTACTTCTAGCTTTCAATTTAAAAATCCTTGAGGGGAATATATAAGAATTTGTGGGCCTTTGATCTCACTGTTATCAAGTTATCAAGCATTGCATTTAAGGAGCTCATTTGTCTTTCATTTGTCACGCATGACATGATGGTATGAGTAATGTATTGTTTCACATCTGCTTGTGGTAAAAAATGTCCTGATTTGTATGCCCAACGAATAGAAGGGACATATTTTTGAATTAATTATTGAATGACAAGTGTGCTTTCCATCTATTTTACAGTGCCATGAGTTTTAAAAATGAATAAAGTTTATGAAGGGGAGATTCTGTTGTGTAGACTTTAGAATTTACTAAAAGTTAGAAACAGTAAACAGTTTACAGTTATCACACATTGATCTTTTGTAGGAAAAAAACAAATAGAAAGTCATTTCAGGCTTATTATTTGGAGGTTGGAGTATTATGCCTAGATAGGCACATGGGCGTATATTTAATAGACTTCCAAGTTTGTGGGAGGTTTTCATTTCTCTTCTTGCCTTTTTTCCCCCAAAATAGTATCAGTTTGCTTGCTTGAACAGATGTGGGCTTTTCTTTGCGTTAGATCTGTCATTTTGGCTCAAGCAGTGTTGTTAGTTCGAAATATGTAGTGGTAGTATTTTACTTTGCTAGAAAGCTTCCATGTTTACGTGGCAACGGATTTTTTTAGCTTGGATTGTTATACAAGTGACAGCCTGCAACTGATTCAGCTTCTGCTTCTGGGAGATCAAACGGAGCTCGATTAGTTTCTGCTATACAAGAAATAAAGAACATAATCAATACATACAGGGAATAAGGGAATACTGGACCATATCTGCTTTTGGGCCATGCCAATCTCACTCGAATTACGGGGACGTACACATATTAGTACAGTATACTGGGGTACCCGGTTAGAACCACACATGTGAGTTTCCTTGCTTGTGGCTTGTCCATGCTTTCTGAGGTGCTGCCTGTGACTCAGCATGGGAGAAGGGGCGGAACTGCACACTTTCGTGTTCAGAGCATTGTCTAAGTGAGTAGGCAGCACCTACCAAGCAAAGCTTTCTTGAAGAGGCTGGGTTGGTTCCTTTTCAGCGCCCGCCCTTTCTTTTTTTGGATGCCGGTCGAGATGGAGCTGGGAGCCAACCTATACTACTATACTTTCCTGGGGCTTGCCTTGCCTCATGTATCAGTGGGATTCAGATCCACTCGAATCCTTTTTTCCTCCATTCTTCTTGGAAAATCATCCACCATTAATGAGTGAGGGACTCACTTGTATATAATGGGTCCCACTTGAATTGACGGTATGGATCCACTAAGAATGGAAATGGAGTGTAAACATATTTGAAGGGATCTCAATCTGTATCTGTGAACTTTATGCAGCAACCATTTTTGAGCATTTATGGCTCTCTTTTGTATGATTAACCGAGAAACCATGATATAACTTTTTATGTCTTCATACACATGCCTTTTGTTTAATCTTTTTTCCCTAAACCTATCAGAATAAAAATTTGATGTCAACAAATGTTTCACTTTGCAGTCATTAGTGATGTAGGGGTTCATAGGTATTGAAAGATTTTGAATTGTCATGTTGTTGGGCACTAGATCTTATGACTTTTCTTAGTGTCTTTTGTTCTGAAGTCTTGATTATTGGCGGTCTTCTCTGATTTCTGTATGTGACTTTTGCATATAGAAAATTGCATTTTAGCTTTTTGTTGTTGCTTATCTAGAGGGAAGAAAAAAAAGATTCATATGGCTTACTGTCCTATGGTGTTCTAATTTCAGAAGAATGTGCAGCTTCATAAATTGTTTCCCCCTATTGAAGTATCAAACACCCTGTAATGACTTTCTTCATTTTGGGATGAGCTAATAGTCGTTTTTAAGGCCTTTTGACGAAACTGATATTTATGGTACATGCGGATATATGTGTTTGTTTGAACAGGTCATTTATTGAAGACTCTCAAGCTGGCATTAAGATATCCCCTCAGGATAATAATTATCTTGGTTTGAATGATCGGCTAGTAACACTAACCGGTACGCTGGAGGAACAAATGCGTGCTATAGAATTGATTCTATTGAAGTTGGCAGAGGATCCTTCTTACATACAGTCCACTAATGCTCCATTTCCATATGCAGGTATGGATTTTTAATTGGTTCGGTTTTATAATTTTTCTACCCTGATAGTAGCCAGCCATTATTTTTGCATTATTGCTTGAACATTACATGCAGTTAGAAGCGACAGCTATTTTGTTTGTGAGCATGGTTAATTTCACCTAGACATTCAATAAGGTTGGTTGATTTTGCCTACAAATATTCTCATGTTTTTTTTTTTTTTTTTGGGAGTGGGAGGGGGAGGGGGAAGGCGGCTTGAACCCTTGACCTCAAGAAGGCAAAACCTTCATAAGGTAAGGAGTACCATTGGACCAAAGGTCCATTGGTACATGTTATATGCAATCAAATTCGAAACCTTAAAGACAATTGACAACTTATCATTGAAATAATTTTACAATCCCAAGATATGGCTTGATTTCCTCTGAAATAAGTGTACAATCCCAAGATATGGCTTGATTTCCTCAAATAACGAAGAATAAGCTTTAGTTTCATAACTTGAGCCGGTGGAGACTCTGGAGTGATTGAGCAAAGTATCATCTCCAAGTTGTGTGGGAATAAATTTGTCAAGGCTCATAAGAGAGAAGGAGAAGAGCAGGCTGGTCTGTGTTGCGTTTGGAAGGCGATACCTGTGTTTTGGTAAGTCTTGCCAGACTTCTCTAGGTACATAGTTGATTCAGTGAGCTTTGCAGCAAATATTGTGTATTGGGCAACCATTGCCAATTCATTGTCTCTTGCATATCACTGTAAATTGGACACATACAACTTGGTTGAGTTTCCTTGTTTTTGCACTGAAGTTGGATTTGCCCCCGACACATGGTTTCATAGACACATTTTTTGAGTTGATTAAGGCAAGAAAGGTCTAGCATCTTATCAAGCATAGGACCGAAGATACCTGTCTACGTGAATATGGATAATCAATGCTAGATTATTCATCATCCTTTAGAAATAGATGAGTCATGGTTATACACTTATTAGGGTAAAAAGTTTTTTCATGTTTTATTCATGGAGCACAAATTGGATATTAAAGAACTAATGCTAGACAAGAAAATCGTTACATGGTTGATGAAGAATATATCGAAGCAAATCAATCCTAGACATCAATTGTCGGGTTTCTAAAACGAATGTAACTTATTTGCACTCCGGTATTACCATTTTGATTTATTTTTTTCTTTTGAAACACTAACTTTTAAAAATTAATCTGGTGAGTAAGGGAACGAATTTGGGGCTAGTCTTTTGATTAAATCTCAAATGTGCTAACCTGTCATCAAAAAGTAATTTGTTTCTCTTCATATAGCCGTACTTTTCAAAACACTTGGGATAGAAGAAATTATTATCCATATTGAGATTGGTCAATAGAAGATGGAAGAAAAACTTTACAACTCCCAATATACTTATCTCTTTTTTAAATAAGAAACAAATATGTCATTTCATAGGAAGAAGCAAAATTACATAAATGGTGGATAGGAAATCCACCAAAAAATAAAGAAAATAAAGCAAACTAACAACTACAAACAACTCTTTAATTTTGTTGAAGAACTAAAAAAGGAATGCCATGAAACTCGGTAGTAACCACAACCCATAAAGAAGTCAAGAACTTCACTCTATCCCATAATAGTTTCTTTTCCTAAAAAAAAATTGTGGTTCCCTTCCATACACACCACCCAAAAAATTGCAAAAGTTACACAACTCCATAAAGTCGAATCTTTTTTACCATTTCCACAATGGTCAAAAGCACATAACCAAAAGAGAAGCACAATTAAGAGGTGTGACCCACGCCAAATCTGTTTCCAACAACAGCTTAAGCCACGAAAATGAGGAATGACTCAATGAAGGAACAAGTGATCAACACTTCCACAACCTGGTTTGCATAAAACACACAATGAAGAGAAATACAAGTATTGAGCCTTTTTTTTTGCAACAAGTCGCAAGTATTTGCTTTACCATTAGCTATCATCCAAGCAAGTACCTTCACCTTAACAGGTACTCTTGCCTTTCCAATCATTGAGTGAGGTTCAAATATAGAATTATTTGGATCATTAATCAGCCATTGAAAATAGGGGCAACAAGAAATTTTTTCGAAAGAATCAATTTAAGGATCCAAAAAAAACTAAATCAAGCAAAGAAAGGAGGTAAGAACACTCCAAAGTGTCCCAATCTTTTAGAGTATGGGAAAAAAAAATTCAAATTCCATTCCCTTGGAGAGTAAGGATCAGAACTAAACATGCTAGCTGCTGGAACATTATGAGACCTCGACAATCTAAGGAGATGAGACAACTATAAGGCTAGGATGACACACCTGTCCAAATATCCTCTCCGAAGGGAACTTTTTTCCCATTTCCCACCCTCGAAAGAACATGTTTTCTAAAATCACCCAATCAGAACTAAATTTCCATGTGATTTATCTATTTCCATTCTCAAATATGTTTTTTGGGGCTAGTTCAATGTATATGTGCCCGTGTTTTATATTTTTGGGTACAAATTACTATTATAAGCAGTTTCTTTTATGCTTTTTGGCTTTCACCTAGCCTGATAGGAGTGAGAGAAGATCTGATTGTCATCCTATTGACTTCAAAAGGTAATGGCCCGCATGAAGGAAACCTTGAGTTTCTTATTAGGTAGTGTTAATGAGCAAGTCCATTAAAACTTGCTAATGTCATCGAAGAGATATGTAATATTCGCTCATTAAACATATGTTATTTGCTTTGTTTATCTATCTAATATTACAACAACGAAGTTGAATTCTCAACTTGTAAATGATATGATTTATTGGTATAACACGAGGCTCATAATTACCTGTTTGTGGAGTTTCTTATTTTCTCTTATAAGCATTAGTCGATAAAGGCGTTTCTTGTTTGTAGGGATTTTGCAAGTTTTACCTCTAGTTGGTGTCTTCCATAGGTTTTCTCCTTAGATGAAGCAAGAAATATAGGATTCTGGCTGACTTTTACCTTTTTTCTTTGTTACGTTGTTGTATTCTCATCTTGGTGACCCCTCCTGGGAGTTACATCTAAGAAAGTTGATGTCATATTTGGTGCAGATAGTTTCTTCTACATTAAAGTGGTTTGTTTATCTCTTGTGTGCTTAAGAATAATGTTACAAGGCATATTGTGAAATCATGAGTTTAAGCTTGGTTGAAAAGCCTGACATACTAAAATATAAAGATCAAAGATTTGGAGATACTTGAGCAAAACATTTTTGCTATTTGTAGTCAATTATCCATACGGAGGGATTACAGGCATGCACCCGCCAGAATGTCTCCTTGGCGCAGGACGAAGTCAAGCCGGTAATCATTGGGCCAGTAATGCTTTATGGGACGCAATGTTGAGCAATTAAGAAGCATCATGCTTAAAAACTAAGAGTGCGTGTGGTAACGTTTTGTTTTTTGTTTTTTTATTTATTTTTTATTTTTCAGTTTTTGCCCCCCAAAAAAAAAAAAAAAAAAAACCATGGTGCGAGTGGTACATGTTTTCATTTTTTTTCTTCATCCAATTTGTTTTGAAAGCAAGCTTAGTTTTTGCAAACAAAAAATTGATGTTTTGAAAAACACCAAAAAACGAAAACAAGCACGTGCGCTTGGGGTAGACTTTAATGAGGTTCACTCATAACACCTTTTTTTTTTTTCGAAGTATAAAAATTCCTTGAGCAGCAACACATCTTCTTTCTCATCTGTCCCTCTTGATCTCTCCTCTCCATCTCTACTCAGTTTTTCTATCTCTCTCAAGTTCAAATCTGACATCATCTCTCTTTGAAAGGGAATATTTGAACTATATATTCTTTATATATTCATAGATCTACGTGTATATGTCTATATATATACACACATACATAGATCTATATAGATCTATGTGTGTGTGTGTGTGTGTATGTTTGTGTTTGTGGTTCTGAGTGTTGTGTGTGCTGCGTCTGTGTGTGTAAGATGAACAAATTGATTGGATAAGATGCCCTTTCTTTAATTCGAACCTTTGAACATCCTATAGATCCAGCATTGAATGGGTAAAATGAACAAATTGAATCCTAACAAAACTTTTTTCAACATTTGTGTTGTTATACTGATTACAAATTTAGAATATTTAATGGGTTTTTGGTTGGATTAGTGGGTGGAGTTTTTTAGGCTGGAACTTGAATTTGCATTTAGGATTTTCCTGTTTTTTTTTTTTTTGAAACATATGTTATTTGGGGCTCTGGTTTTTTTTTTTTTCCATATGTGGGTCTGTGGGTGCATTTATGTGTGTTGGGGGGGGGGGTTTGTGTTGGAATTTTCTGTTTGTATGCTGTGAAGAGCTGCTTCTTTCTTGCTTGATAGGGGGGCTTCCATTCACTAGCACAGACTGCGCATATGTGTCTTCTGTGTGGTTATTTTGTGTGTTTGTATATGTGAGCCAGTGTGTTGTGTGCTTTTGTGGTGATTTTGTGTGTGAGTCAGTGTGTTTGTGTGTTTTGTGTGTGTGTGTGATCCGTTTTGAGATGCAGTGGATGTTTGAATCAGACCAAATCATGAAAAATTAACTGCTTTATGTCAATGCTCAATAAAGTATAAACTTACAATCATATGACAATTTGTAGGAGCTAGCAAGAAATTTTAGACAAATATTGCATACGTGGGACACAATGGGGTGTTGGAGATTGTTGTGAAAATTCAGACAAGACCAGAGCAAGAGGGTTGTCACCAAAAGTTTTATACAACATTTTTACAGGATAGCATTTTTCAAAGAATAAGCAAATGAATGAAAGAATGCCCTTGATATGCACGTACTAATAGATCTGAACTGAGCCATTTAAAGCAAATATAAAACTAATAATTGAGACATAACTTGAAACGATTACTAAGCATGTTTTTTGCTTTCAATTTTTACCACCGAAAAAATAAAAAGTTACCAAATGCACTCTTTAAGTGTTGCAAAAAATGAGAATGCTAAGATGGATTTATGGTAAAGCAAGAAAGAATAGAATCATAAATGAGTATATTCGGAAAATTGTAGAAGTAATACTAAGAAGAGATAATTGACTTGGGTGGTTTGGTCATGTATATAGAAAACCTAATAATACATTGTGAAGGAAAAATGATTTAATGTATATCGATAGTAATGCGAGAGTTAGAGGTAGGCATAAAATAACTGTGGACGATATAGTAAAAAAAGATATGAGAGATTATGGTCTAACGGAACATATTTCATTTGATAGAGTGCAATGGAGAAATAGAATCCATGTAGTCGACCTCAAGTAGTTGGGATTAAGACTTTGTTGAGTTGAGTTGAGTTGTACTTTTTCTCCTTTTGTCTGTCAATTGTTGTTCAAGAAAATGTGGTGGAGCAGGTCATTATGTTGTTAATGTCTTTACTTTTCGGGTAACAAATAAATAAACCATTAGAGAAAGAAATAGGATATCCACCGGAGTGAAATAGAGGTCATTTCTGAAAGTAAAAGACAATAGATTGGCCAAATGTACACCTCTGCATGATTGATACAAGGATACATGCACTAATTTCGTGATTACTGAAACTATTCTTATAAGTATGCTTTGCAGTGCCATTCGATGTTATTGTGTTGGAGTTATTCTAGTGAAAATTGATGCCTAGGAATTTGTCTCCGGTTTGAGTTTTAGGTGTTTTTCTTTGCCTGTTTTCATGGTATTCCATATAGATATGTGTTTCCTTCTGTTTCAGCAGCATCATACAATGCACTAAACTATGGAGCAAATGGGTCTGGAGTAAAGTTTCAGAATAGCAGGTTTCAGAATAACAAGGTTCATTCTCTTCCTTGGAACTGTATCTCTTCTATGACTTGTTATTGCACTTGAAATAGTTATGACTCCACCTTTTTTGTCATTTTTATTTGGTGTGCGATGCAATTATATACTTCTTTAGTTATTTATTGATACTGATAAAAGGAAAGATGTCATTGCTTAGATTGCCCAAGCTTAAGAAATTTGTTTCTACAAGAAAACCTTCACTCTCTGGACTCGTGTTTTTATAACACTTCACATCCTCTTTCCATTTGAAATTACCTAATCAAGTGCTATATGTGGCGAGAGTCTGTTGGTTCTTGTGTAAAAGGAATACACCAAGGCTGGTCTATGATCAGCTGTACTTGTGCATATCTTTTGACACCTATTTAAATCAAAACTTTTTTAGAAAGAGAAAGACATTGATTTATCTTCATCAGATATGCTGATGAATTTCTTTCTACAGCTTTAGTAATACTGAAAATGTTTGGTAACTATTAATTGCTAACTGTCGGTCCATAATAGATCAATTTCAGCGTCAATTCAAGTCCGTAAAGTTTGTCATTGCCCTCGTGGGAATTGAAATGTTCGCAAAGCTTGAATTATATGGAGATGATGATTAATTTTTAGCAGATTAATAAGAAATCCTGTTAATACCGTTGGCCAGTAAACCCATACAGACAGAGAATGATATTGTTCTATATAAGAAATAATCTGACCACTCTCTTAGAGATAATTTTTTTAAAATGCTTTTGTGCTTTTTTGCTGGAAGTACTTCTTTAAGCAGCATCTTTATTCAGGCTTATTCCCTTCTTTTAGCAGATGTATATCAGTATATATGTGCAAATATAGAAGTGTATCATTTATATACTAAGATGCATATAGATCTCTTTTGCAAAATAGAATCAAACATGCCTTTACTTTTTTAATGAAATTTTTTTTTTCTTTGCTTAAAAAAAATAGCTAAAATAAGTGCTAAAATGGTACATTAGTCTTCTTTGCAAAATAATGCCAAACTTCAGTTGATATCAGATCTACCTCGCCTAGCACCCTATGCAGGAGTAACTCTGGGTATAGTACTATAGTTTTCCAAAAAACAAGCAGAAAAGCTCTGGTTACTGTCATTGGTACGAGTCTCTGTCCATTATGTGTCTTGGGATCTCCTCGAGTATATTTTAGGCTGTGGTAAGGAGTGGGGGTGAATGAGAGGGAGAATTTATGACATGTATGGTTCTGATTTTGAATTTTTTTCATTTGTTCTGTAGCTTAAAAAATATCCTTGTTGTCCTCTCCTTGACTGTGGATTCTATTGCCCTCTTTGTGATAAAAAGTCCAGATCAACTACTATCATGTTGTTGAAGTATAATACTGCTGTTCATCACATCTTATCTTTTTCTCGGTGCTAAATCAAACGTGCAACTGTTAGTCCCTATATGTATTAAATCTAAAGAAAATGAATGCATTGGTTAGCTTCCATAGTCCAAACTCTTTGATGTAGTGGCGGAGCCACATAGTGGCCAAGGGAGGCCATGGTTCCTCTCAAATTTTCGGAAACACCCTATTCCGCTTAGGTTTTAAAAAATTTATATACATACATATATATATATATATATATATAGAGAGAGAGAGAGAGAGCTTCATTTAGTGTATTCAAAAAGCTTAATGATCTGATATTAACACCAAGTAGGATATATTAATCACATGGAGGGGTTCTGCTCTTACAGACGAAGACACTTGATAGGATGAGTTTGATGACCAAAAGAAAAGAAAGTTTTTGCAAAATTGGGTTACAAATGCGAGTTATTTCATGAACAATGCAGAGACTTGCGATATTAATATTTAAGGTGGAATAAGGGAATAAGTGTACCGTGACATTGTAAGATGTTAATGTCCTTATAATAAGTACAAACCAAACTGATGTTTATTATGGTATTATGTAAAAGTTGGTTTTGGCAGTAACTAAACATTTGGCACTTAAGATAGCTTGTGAAATGACTCCATCAAAAAAAAGTCCTTGGTTGCTAGTCTTTTGGGTGCAATTCCTTAATTTTATGGGTTTGATTAACAGAAGGCCTCATGATGTTTTGCAGGAAGAAAGGAGTGACTCGGTGACTATTGGGGTTGCAGATGAGCACATAGGGCTTGTTCTTGGCCGTGGTGGAAGGAATATCATTGAGATCAGTCAGGTACGCCAACATATTTGCACTTGCTCCTTAGTCATTACTTGCATTGTTATTAATTCTGTACTTCGTTCTTTGCAGCGTAGTGGAGCCAGGATCAAGATATCAGATAGGGGTGATTTTATGTCTGGGACATCTGATCGGTATGGAACTCTTTGAATCCGTCCCCTGTTGCTTGGTAGAGCGAGCTATAAAGCAAATGATGCCTTATGCTATGTTTTTCTTGCACTTCTTGGCAGGAAAGTGACTATCACAGGACCACAAAGAGCAATCCGTATGGCTGAAAACCTGATATTGAGCAAGATCTCTTCTGCTTCTGAGGTGATGAAGTAGCTTCCAAGTTTTCTTGTCCATTGATGTGGAGAAATTTACCAATGGACCTGCCGACAATATCTATACTCTGGATGAGTCGGAACCATGTCCACATATCTTCGTAAATGATTCATTAATGGCAATTTAAGTGGTTCGTGTGAGAGCAAGGAGCTAAATTCGTAAGAGAAATTCATTCGTATTCTAAGCTTGCTAGAAAAATTTCTTGAACCACAGTTTGTGAACGAGACCATAACTATTTTGGATGACCAAAAATTACTATAATTGCTTACGGAATTAAGTTGTATGTCTGAGATATATTCGTAGAAGACGGAGCTTGAGCTTGGAATTTTGAGGGTTCCTCTATATTGCTGGAAATCAATTTTTATGGATTCCTAGGTTTTATGTTTCTACCTTTTCCTCTCTTGCAAATACGGTCCTGGTGGTTTGAATTAAATTTACTAATGAACCAGTTTGGCTTGTTTTTGTTTCGCTCGTCTTACAAAATGAGTTGAATTTGAGTAAATTTTTAGGCTCGTTTCATATTTGAGCCGAGCCGGAGTTATTTGCAAGCCAACTCGGTTTGTATACTTGTATAACATATATTGGTAAATTATTAAGAATGTCAAAAATTAGCAAATATATAATCTATCACGAGTCAACTCGGTTTGTGTACTTTCTCTCCACCCCTTGAGCCATGATCGCTAATTCCCTAAACCCTTCTTTCAGTCCGCTTTCTCTCTCTCCCCGCTTCTTCTCCCTCTCCATCCCCTGTATACCAATTCTTCGAAGACCCTCGCTCTCTGCCTCTGTCTCTGACCTCTTACCAACGCCACCAACTCCTTTCAACACCCTCAATCCAAGCCCTATATATAACTCTACTAAGTTGGCATTAAAAAAAGAACTATTATCATTATCTAGGTTGTACTAAGGTGCACATGTATATATTTAATTTGTATTTTTCGTTGCAATTTAAATTCTTTTGAGGCTAGGGTTTGTATTTGAATTCAGGTTTTTGTGAACTATATGTGAAATTTATCATTTTGGGATTTTTTTTTTCTTTGGTTAGTGGTCAAGAGTTTGAGATTTTCACATTTATGGACTTAGATTTTGTGAATATGAGATTTATGAAAGAACTCAATTTTGTCTTGGGTTCGTTAACTCGGGCTTGTATATAGTCGAATTTGAGCAATAATTTAGACTCGGGGTTGGAGCCCTAGTTTAGTCTGAGCAATTTGAAACTTGGTAGGTTTAGCTTGATTAACACCTGTGTGTGATTCATGGTAATTGTTACATAAAAACAATGAAGAGTAATCAACCTCACCCTCAATTTAGAACACTCTCTCCATCTAATTACATTAGAAAATGTTGTATAAGGTATGTGAAGGTAGTGAACCAATCAAATAACATGAGTAACATTAGTATTATCAAATTTTATATCAATTTCTCATCTTAAATAATGTGTCGCGTTCATCACCTTCACATCATTAGCATTTAACGATGGTAAATATGACTCATCACTAGGGATTTTACGGCTGTGATGGGTTGTATTACTCACAATAATCGGAGTGAGCAGCCCTGCAATAATTGAGGTGTGGCATCGCAAGGAGAGTTAAATGTTCAATTGTAATGCTTTAAGCAAAGTAGTTAATGTTCCCACCAAAAAAAAAAAATTATTTAAAAACAAAACCCTTGTAATTAGCTTATATGGAAAAACATCATGTTAATGTTTCAAGTAGGGCAGTTGATCGAGTTAAATTACTCGACTAGGAATTGGTTTGAATTCGACTCGTGCTTTAAATGAAACGAACTTGAAGCCAAAATTAAAAGAAAAAGAAAAATATTAATTCTAAATTCCAACTTCCAAGTGCCAAAGATTGAATGGTATGATAACAAAAAACTGTTTTTATGCAATTTACGGTTCATCACGGCCATGACCACCACCACCACCATATCCAGAGCCATAACCAGAGCCATAACCAGAGCCGCTACCATAGCCTGAACAACTGTTCCCACATCCACCATCACCATCAATACCACCACCACCTCCTCCACCTCCACCACCTCCTCCTCCTCCACCACTGCCACCTTTGCCACCCCCACTTCCATGTCCTGAACCACTGCCACTTCCGTATCCGGAACCAATTCCTGGACAACCATCATCACCACCACCACCTCCTCCTCCACCTCCGCCACCACCACCTCCTCCCTTTCCTGTCCCTCCTCCAGACCCGAAACCTGAACCACTACCAGAGCCATATCCGGAACCCGAAACACCTCCCCCTCCCGCACAAGATCCACCGCCACCGCCGCCGCCGCCGCCTCCACCTCCACCTCCACCTCCACCACCACCACCTCCACCTCCACCACCATGTCCAGAGCCATTCCCAGACCCTGAACGAAGGCCCGAGCTACTACGACCCCCTCCACCTCCGCCACCACCTCCTTCACCAATGACCAAGTTTGGTGATCTCGCTGCAAAGGCAAGCTCCACAAAGAGCAAAACCACGAATGCAGCAGCTATCACCTTGGAGCTAGCCATCTTCAAGCTTCCAAAATGCAAATGGACTGATAATCTCTGCCTCTCTCTCTCTCTCTCTCTCTCTCTATAAATGCTCTGTACGTAACATGAATTGAGAAACCAATTGTCTGTGACTTGTGAGCAATAGGGTTGAGATAGGATCGCTATATATAGGCATAAAAGATTGCATGGTTTTCTAGTAGCTTCTTCACTTAATTAAATAGTGTAATAGTTGATAAATATGAACGTATCTAAGGCGAGAGTAGTGGTGGTGTTGGTGGGTATAGGTGGCGGTGGTGGAATCAGGGAGATGGTCGTGATGGCCTGCCTTCGACCAAATCATCTACACAATAAAGTTTGCTCCAATTTTTGACTTTAACGCTCTACAAAACTAGTGTAATACTATTTAACTTAAATTTGGGGTACCAAATAGTATTACAAATTAATAAAAATTATTCGATTAATAATTTTTATTTAAAATAGTTAATGAAACCTTCTTATTCAATGATTCTCGAACATTTAGAATGCTATTTGAGATTTAAATTTGGGTTGATTAACATTTTTTAAAAAGCTAAGGATATGGGACCAATGAGGTGCATCTTTTTTTTTGTAATTTATTAGATGCATCCTCACATTTATGTGAATTTCTTTTTCTTTTTTGGAAAAATAAATATTTATTTGTATAGAGTCCGCTTGAACTTAAAGATATCAATTCGTATTATATCTTGTGACCGACGTGTCATAACTTTTAAGTCGTGTCATATTCTTGTGAAAACCAATAACAAAATTTTGAACAATGTTATTAGGATCTAATTTATAGTCTTTTTATTTCTCTCTGTGTTCTTCTCGTTTTCATCGTAGATTTGGTGTAGTTGTGTGATATTAATTTTTTTTTTTCCGATCTCATATTTTTCACATAAATCTGTGTGTTCTTGTTCGTGATTCTTTTCCATCTTTACTTTTTTTTTGCTCTTTTATTGCATATCAGATTTTGGATTATAAAATTAATTCTCATCAATGAGGGCAGAAACTTTCTACCAAAGCAAAGCTTTCACATCTAGCATGGAGCAGAAAGGATCCAAGAATTAAATAAGGGGAGGGGTTCAAATCTTTTGGAAAAATCTCTTGGTGATAGTAGTGAAGTGAATAGGAGATTGGGCGAGGAGGGAAAGGGGACAAAATCTATATAATTTTAGAAAGAAATTAATTATTATACACTATATAATATAATTTTTGAAAGAAATTAATTATACAATATATAATATAATCTTAGATAGCTTTCAATGATAGCCTCTATGCAATTTTTTACTTTTTTTTTATTAATCTAGCAGTTAACCTTTTTTATTTTATTATCAACACGAGAATCATATGATATGTATTTTGAAGATGTGACAAAAAAAAGTTGTCCTAGGATATTTCAAAAGTGTAGGAATATTTCTTAGATGGCATCGAGAAATTTGTTTTATTTGTTACAATTTTATCCCGTTTTGACTGGCATTTTGAGAAATTGAGTTTAATTTTGTAGGCAATTGAATTATTTTTCAATAAATGTGCAATGTAATGAATAATCAACTAAAAAATAAATATCAAGAGCAATAAAAACAAAAAATTACATAGCTTGATAAAATTCTAACTACGTTAATAAGAGCAGTTGATTTTCACAATATGATCGTTTTATTTGAGTTACAACTTACTTATAGGCACCGCTCTAATCATGGTAAGTCATTAAACTAATCATAATAAATTGATATGTCAAATTATGCTAAAACTCCATATCTAGTATATAATGAAAATGCCCACTATATCGTGTCGTACCACAAAAGGGCTACTTCCCAACACCCCTAGGCCCCCTACCTATTATTCGAGTCCCCAATATAGACGAATAAAACTATCATGTCGTGTCGTACCACACAAGGGCTACTTCCCCACACCCCTAGGTTTTTTTGTTTGGATCAGCAAGTACCCACTAACTCACCTAACAAAATTCCCTACCATAGCCAGTCTTTTAAAAAAAAATCGGTGCTAGTTGTCCACCAGTGGCCGGGACTATCTCACATTGGATAATTTTGGAGTTATGTGTGTATAAGACCCTCTCTTACTTACATTTTTAAGTATAAGTATCAGAATAGTTCTATCTATCAAAAAAAATTTCCCTATCATCACCTCCGGTGGTCCTCTATGCCATGACAAATGCCACTGACTTTTTCATTTATCTTTGGTGGCCATGTGCGTACTTTCAGCTTGCTATCACTTCCCACTATATGTTGCAACAAAATAGTGTATAGTCTTATCAAACAAGACAAGAAAGAAGCGACCGATTATTATCATCATTGTTTATCACCATCACCATCATTATTGTTATTTTATTTTTATATTTATTATCATTATCACTATTATCTTACTATCATCATCGTCCACCGTCAATACTTACCACCATCATTATTGCACATTGCCATCCACTACCACAACCTATTTCCACCCGTCATCAACCAACATCTCCGTC